TGTTTTCCTCCTGAATTATTAATGAGTTTTTTAAATAGTACTTCAAACACTCATTAATAATTCATAAGCTTATTGGCAAATCATGCCAACTATAATATGTCACGTGCACTGGCTTTAAACCTGATAAAACACTCCTAATTAGTATTCTCTATATAAAGAATACTAATCAGGCAGTATCTATTGTTGTCGTGTCCTCATTAGTATTTTTTATATAAAGAATACTAATAGGGCGGTATATCTATTGAATTTGTAGTCGTGTTTGAAGCCGTTTAATAAACTCGCAGGTCGTGGTTTATTAGGTCTAAAGCCACTCGCGCTGCGCGCTCGTGTCTTTAAACCTAATAAACCACTCCTGCTCGTTTATTAAACAGTACTTAAAAAACGCATTAATAATTCAGGAGCAAAACACAAAGAAAAATCATAAGCGTGTCGTTACTTTATATGTGATAAAAAATCATGTTAATTTACATAAACTTTAGCTTTGATTTTCTTGGTTTAGACAAAGTTTATTTTAAAAATTACTTCGCTAATGTACTCATCAGAAGATGGGTCGTTTTTTAAGCCTGCGCCTCGCGTTTTATATCTGATAAAACACGACTACAAGTGCTTTAAATAGTACATATATATATATATATATATATATATATATATATATATATATATATATATATATATATATATATATATATATATATATATATATATATATATATATATATATATATATATATATATATATATATATATATATATATATATATATATATATATATATATATATATATATATAGTGGCTCGATTGACTTCTGGTTAGCGAATAAAAAAAGGTCATTTGGTTAAGCTCTCTACTAATTTTTACATAAACTGTGATTTTCCTATCTTAATTTTGGAAAACTATAGAAGATGCGCCGCCAGGAACCAAATTATTTTTAATGACAGACTAAAAATATTTTGGTCAGAGAACGTCTCAATTGTAATACAGGTTAATTATATTTCATAAAAACGTGACAACTGTCTAGCATTATTAAATTACAACCTAAGAATGCTTCCTTTACGAAGAATTAAGCTATACTGTAGATCTTCAGCAGTTACTATTGCAATACAGGTGGCTCAGTATACTCACCAGATAAGGAAGGGTTCTTGGAAGGAAATTGTGCAGCTTTTTTAGGAATTGTTGGCATGATAAGAACATCATATTTCGTGAATGCCTCATCATATGCCTCGCGCAAATCTCGTCGTAAATTTTGACACTTGTTATAATAATACCCGTCATAATTTTTCTCACGAAGGTATCTGAAACACAAAACGTACAACATTTGTGTCATGATAAAAATCACTTTTCCTTGGTAATCGAATGAGTTTCCGCGCACAAATTATTGATTTTTTTTTAATGTTTGAAACACGTTATTAATATTTATTATTATCAATATAGAAGGCCGAATGGGAAGCCGCCCTCTTTAAAACGTTCGCAAGCGCGGGCCGATAACGAATCGGACGGGCGGTAATTACGCGTTTTCTGTCCTGCATATGATTGGTCAATCGTGCGTCTCATGATTGTTTTCGACCAATTAATATTCAGAATTTTCAGCTTGGCAAGGAAACCATTTGAGTGCTCTGATTGCTCTCGGGCTCCCACGGTGTTTTCAACTTTCAAGAGACGAAAGTTGTGAAATTAAATATGGCTAGCTCTAGCGTGAATTCAACATGCAGACGAAAATATAAATGTTTTAAGCCAGAGCTCTGACCTTGATAAGGCAGCTCTTGACGAGATTGAGAAAAAGGCTCAAGCAAAAAACACAACAAAAGCAGTTTATATTTTATATATTTTAATGCATTGTTAACTGTTTTTCCTTATTGTTAAAAGCATTCATTGTCTACATTGTATATTGTGTTGGTGTTATATTATATATTTATAATTATTTGTTCTTCTATATTGATAATGATGTTAATAACATGAGTTTTGTCGGGTCATATTGTTTATTTTTGACCTACAATATAAGCGCTCCAAAACTCATGTTATTCCCTTAATATCTTAATCTTAATTCCCTATATGTCATTTTCGCATAGGTGAATTGCATTCGTTTTCAGAAACTATTCCCTCCTTAATCCTTTGTAACAAATAAAGAAAGACGATCATAGTTCAACTTTGTGGCATTGCATGAATCTTACTAAATCAGGTTCTTCTGTAGGACATGAATCAATGAATGATGGCCTGTGTATTTTGGTAAAACCTAAACATCATTTTCAATGAACGCTCGTTGCCACTGATTATGACTGTTGAGGCTAGGGAACAGGAACAAGGCATATTTTGCAATGAAATCATAGGAAACAAGAAAACAAGTAAACTGGGGGAACAAGAGAACATGGTGAAATCTTTACCGGAAACAAGGGAAAGAGGGAAATTTCCAAGGGAACGCAACTGTTAAAACGTACAAAAGCTGACTTATATGCATGGTTAAACACTAAATAACTGCAGGTTATCTGATAAGTCAAACATATTGTCTAAGTTTGAACTTTATTTAGCCATAGTCTGGCAAGATATGATAGTCTGGAAACTAAACAGAAGTCATTGTGTTATGTTTTTTGTTAATTTGTGCACGATCACGGTGATTGAGCTCATTATGTTTTCGTATTATTACTAATTAGGTAATCGTCCAATAGGGATAGGCGCAGATTTGTTTTATAATAATATGCAAAAGCACACTATTATAAAACAAATCTGGAACAATGCAAAAATAGTAAAGATAGCTGGAGATTTATTAATCATTTACTCAACAGGGGAACGACTACAACAACAATCGTTGTTCAAGATCACAGTTAATGGACAAACAGTTACTGGTAACGATAATAAAGCGAACGAGTTTAACAATTATTTTTGTGAAATTGGCCCTAAGCTTGCACAAACTATACCACCAAGTAATGTAGACCCACTTCAATATATCACTGCTAATTCTAATAAGTTTACATTTAGACAAATTTCACCAGTAGAATTATGCAGAATACTATATGGTATAAAATTAGGGAAAGCTGCAGGACTCGACAAAATCACAAACAAACTGTTAAAGGCTGCAGGCTATACCATATATGTGAAACCTTGCTTTATATTTTTGACTTGATCCTAGACGTTGGTATACTTCCAGACGACTTAAAACAGGCCAAGATTACGCCTATCTATAAGGAAGGTGACAAAAATGAATGTGGAAATTACAGACCTATATCCGTCATACCGGCAATTTCAAAAATGTTAGAAAAAATAGTTTATAACCAACTTCTCAATTTTCTGAATGACAACAAAATAATCACAAAACGCCAATCTGGCTTCCGTAAATATCACTCTACTGAAACTGCTCTCTTGCAATCAACCAATGAATATTTAATGAATAAGGATAGATGCTTAATAAATGGTGTCTTGTTTCTTGATCTCAAAAAGGCATTCGATACAGTCGACCACAAAATCCTTCTTGCTAAACTTGAACTATATGGAATTCAAGGTGTAGCCCTTAACTTCTTCAAATCGTACTTAACCAATAGGAGTCAATTATGTACAGTCCAAGGTACAAATTCTCAACTGAAAAAGATAAGGTGCGGAGTCCCACAGGGATCAAACTTAGGACCGTTATTATTCTCATTGTATATAAACGATCTTCCTAACTGCCTCGAACAAACAGGGGCATTTATGTTTGCAGATGACACAAATATATCAAGCATTGGTAATTCACCTGGGACATAGAAGTGAAACAAAATAACGATTTGTATAACGTCAATAACTGGTTAATAGCAAACAAGCTTACTTTAAACGTTAAAAAAACTGAATTTATGCTAATAGCCTCTAAATGAAAATTGAAACAATTCTCATATGACCATGTATATTGATTGGTAATCATAACATCAAACAGGTGACCAATAAGAAAGTACTGGGAATTACTTTAGACGATGAACTGAGATGGCATAAACACAATGATATTCAATGCAAAAAACTATCCAAGAGCATTGCCTTACTAAGACGAGCCAAACGATTTAACGTATTAATTAACATGTACAACTCACTAGTCTTACCTCACTTTACCTATTGCTCCAACGTGTGGAATGACGGCAGTCGTACACATACAGACAAGCTTTTAAAAATGCAAAAACGAACGGCTCGAATTATCACACGGTCAACTTACGAAGTAAGATCGAAAGATATATTTAATATCTTACACTGGAAACCACTCTTAAGAAAAGAGAAATTATAATGACATTTAAGGCCTTATATACAAGCCCAACTGCAATAACGTATGACCAACATCTTTAAAATTTACCTAAATGATATGTATCCGTTAAGAAGTAATAACTGTAAACTTTATTTGGAAAAACCTAAAACATACTTCTTGAAGAAATCGTTTTCATATCGAGGTGCTCTGGTGCTGCATCATGGGACAATCTTCCAAATGATGTTACCAACAACTATAAAGAGCTCTCCATAAGTAACTTCAAAACCTTAATCAACAACTATTTCACCAATTTGGAGAGGAATAGTGTGTGATAACCACTTGTGGGGCGGATTTTGATTCAAAGGAGTAATTGTTGGGTCTGGGAGGGTTAACATAACATAACATACTATTTCTAGTTATATATAGCTAGTGTTCACTGCATGGGCTTTCTTTTTATATATAGTTAGTATGTATAATAGATTTTTCATATTTGTAAATATTCTAACGGCTCCTTGAAAAGCAGTTTAAACTGAAGGGCTACCGTTTTTAAATAAGATGAATAATAATAATAATAATAATAATAATAATAATAATAATAATAATAATAATAATGGTTCTGAAGGCTGTTATTGCTGGAGTAGTTGAGGAAGATGAGCATCCGATACCAAAAAATACTCCATATGGCAAAGAGCAACATAAAGCCTCTGACAGTCAAGTCCAGCTCCTGGCCTTCACGTGGCAGAACTGTTTGGAACTAACAGGAGAAGGGGCGAGAGGCGAGTAATTGGCGCCTTTAAATAACCAATGCTTCGGGTAGGTGGAGCTCGTCAACCTTGGATGGTAGTTCACCTAGGAGAAGGAAACTCTGATTTTAAACCAGGGCATATGAGGCTCTTCAGCCTTGGCTGGCAACTCATATAGTGGTAGTTCCACGACGAAATCAATTCGTAACTCAAGATGTCAATCGTGTCGATGAGTGAATGGCCACTGCGTCATGTGGTCGCTAACGATGGCTGATAGGAAGTAGCGACACCTGTCAGTAATAGCTTTATCCTGAGAGTCGGGCAACACAGGATGGACTTACAACCCGTACACATTACATGAACCTCATATATATGGGTGAAAAAATATGAATACTACTAATGTAGAAGACAACGACGTAAATGAGACTGGAACGACTAGTGAAGGTCCCTTGTCCGGCAGGTGTCCTGTGGATCAGCAGCACAGGCCCAGTCGTCATGCTACTGCTGAAGCTATAAGATTGAAATGGACGAAAGAAATCAATGTTGTAATAATGGAGTGCTTTTATTTAAGTAAGCCGTTTAGCGAAAATGGAAAACCTCAACGAGGATACCGACAGCGAATGCATAGGATCTGGAATGAAAGAGGAGTGTTTCCCGCAAAAGAACAAAGAATTTGTGATCAAGCTAGAGCAATAAGGAAGAACGGTTGGTTAACAGACATTGAACTGGAGAGTATAAAACAAAGAGTATTAAGTGAGGAAATAAATCATGGAGAAAGTGACTTGGAAAGAGAAGAAGTGGGATGTGATATGACCATGAATGGAGAAATGAGAAATGAAAATGAGGAGACAGCAAGTGGAAGGAATGTACAATATCGGGAAGATACACATACAACAGAGCAATCTGAGGATAGAGCAGAAGAATGTATTAGAGTTGAAGGATATGGAGAGTTAAGTAAGGACGAGAAAGAGATTGTTGATAGGATAATCGAGATCATGAAAGGTGAAGAAGATTATAAAGTATTCACATTTAAGAAGGTGGATAGATGCAAAATAAATGAAATTAGGTAAAGAAGTGGATAGGGAGAAGACATGGTGGTGGCTGAAGAAAGGAGACTTGAAACCTGAGACTGAAGCACTTCTTTGTGCTGCACAAGAACAAGCTCTAAGGACAAATTATGTAAAGTTTCACATAGATAGAACTGTCGAGTCTCCACTCTGTAGACTTTGTGGGGAAAAGGGAGAGCATATAACACACTTGATAAGTGAATGCAAAAAGCTAGCACAAAAAGAATACAAACGAAGACATGACAATGTGGCTCGCATTGTACACTGGAAGCTACGTGGTTTGTACCAACTAGAGAAAGCTGAAAAATGGTATGAACACCAACCAAATGGAGTAATTGAATCAGATATTGTAAAGATTCTCTGGGATTTTAACATACAGTGCGATCATGTGATTGAATGTCGAAGACCTGATATTGTAGTGGTTTTAAAGAAGGAAAAGGAATGCAAGATCATAGACATCGCAGTTCCAGGGGACTGTAGAATTGGTATAAAAGAAACAGAGAAGGTAGAAAAGTATGAGGAGTTGAAAAGGGAAATTCGGAAAATATGGGCACTGAAAAAAGTAGAAGTCATTCCAATAGTAGTAGGTGCCTTAGGAGCAGTTAGTAATAAACTGGATAAGTGGATTGAGAAATTGGGAATACATATAAGAATAGAACTTCTACAAAAAACAGCATTGTTAGGGACGGCAAGAATACTGAGAAGAAGCTTGGAAAGCTAAAATCTTTGGGACCTGAGGCTACTGGTTGTAGCCAGCTTCCAAGGAAAAACATAGCCAGCATAAGAACAAAGCTGTGAAAAACATGTAATAATAATAATAATAATAATAGTAATAATAATAATAAAAGATACCTGACATGAAACGTACGATGTGTAATATTTAATGAAGTTAAGACAAAGGACTTGTGCACGGTGAGGTACTGTGCAGTTCAACATCCATCATCTGCTATTTTGCAGATTTTAAGTTTGTCGGGGTTCCAGACCATCTTATCTTTACAGACTTAGACTGCCAAGGCCCTCGGAGGGTTAAAGCATGGATAATATATAAAACACATGGATAGGAAACTAGCTGACGTGACCTAATCTTTTCAATGGGATGATGGCGTTGAAACCTAGTTGCAAACCAAATTCTCAAAAACGGCATGTTTAGCGATAATACAGCTAAACATTTTAGTCAAAGAGCAAATAAATATAACTAGGCCATTCTACGATGAAATCTCTAAGTATTCCCGGTCAATTTTAGCAAATATTTCAAGCACTAAACAGTGAAAAATGCATCGCAAATTTCGTAAAAATTGGCGACGCCAATTTCGTAGCTATAAATGTTAAAAAATACAAAACAAAGACGAAAAACATTTACCTTGAATACTTTGTCGTGGCTTAGGCATGTTTTTAAAACAATTAGACCAGTTTATGCTTCAATATTACTCTTTTAAAGCGGAAAATATAGCGAAACAACAAAAATGCTGAGAACTTTGGCAATACGCGTGACGTCACAGATTGCAACTAGGTTTAGACTGTGACGTCAGGAAGTTTCCTATCCAGTTATTTTACAATCCATGGTTAAAGTGGAAAAGACGAATCACATCCTACATGCAAAAAATCTACGGCGTGTGATCACCTGTAGGCCCTCATTCTCCGTTCGTCATTTCCGCTTTAACGAGGGCTTGCCACGCAGGCTAAACTTGATTTTCACTTTTTTGTTGTGGATACTGTATGCTAGCTTCAAAAATCAAATTACGCCATTTTTTCCTACAAACGGCAATGCTGGTAGTCGCTAGCGCTATCATGCAACTATACTACTCATGCATGATCAGAGTCTTTTACCTGCCACACAAAAGTACGTTCTTTATAGCCGGAGGATTATCATTAGGATGACATTTCAATCCACGAGTCAAAGCAAGGTGAAGATGGGTGTTGTGATATCCCTGGGTTGCTGTACACTCCCCTACATTGGAACAATATATTTAAAAATAAGAGTGATTCCTGAAATTCACGACAACCACTAATCCAATTAAAAGATAAAAAATACTTCTCCAGGACAGGACCTCGAAACGTCAAGAAGTATTTAAGAGCCGCCGTCTGTAAATATCGACTGGAGGTATGCAAAATGAAAAAATTCAAAATCTTCCAACTTTGTCAGAATATAGGTCTAGGTAAACCATTACTAGAAATATAACTTTAAGTTCCATCAGATTTTTATTTTAGGCAAACGGCTATTTTTTTATTTTCACGTCTCTCAGACTGGTTTTACAGGACACATACCACATGTCATTTACAGATCGCTTAAAAATTGAAATAAAGATTTACCAGAAATGTTTATTAACTATTTCAAAGAGGAAGTAGAGTTGATTTTTTAGTTAATTTACCGAATTTTTCGAGACCAAAAAATGGCTAAATTTAGAGTGGAAAGTCGTAAGGTTCATTGGACCTCCGCTTTGACGTTTACAGCCATATCCATGCGAAAGAGCAACGTTTCTTCTTCAATTTAGTAGAAAAATTTTTTTGGGCATTGAAACGACGGTTTTTGGGAACGCCAAACGTAAGTGGCCTCGACGTTAAAATTAGCTTTTCGAGTTACATTATCTATTAAATGCAATTAATCTATGACAACCGAAAGTAAAAATATTTAATCAAATTCCCGTGAAAATTATTCGCTTTAACTGAGGTCTAACTATATTTAATAACATTGTGTAGTGATTCCTGATAATTTTGCGTGAAATTAATCTTAAAGAGGCTGTAAACTCCGTATAATGTAAACAAAGTTAAAGCTTTGTTTAGTACATTTTGAACTGCTATATTTGTAAAATATGATATACTATAAACTGAATATCTAACACTTCTCAGGTTCGCTATGCTTGTAAATGAATATAAACTCTACGTTTGAATTCAAAAAAGTTCGAAAGATGGAAAATTTGGGCAATATTTATAGCTGTGGGAGAACGGAGTTTAAATGACGATGCTGCTCGAATTGTATCCTATCTCTCGTCAGTCAAAAAAGTGTCGCCAAAAACATGGCGGATTTTCACGTTTGCTGACGCCATATGGTTCCTCCGGCTCATGGCAATTACCACTGACCAACCGCGATCCTAAGCATCCGACAAAGACCTGGTGGTGAAAACTTGCTCAAACCTTTACATACTTAATATAATCTGTATCGTTATACAACCATGGAGTTTAAAAATGTTTGAATGAAGTATATTGGTAGAGTATTTTAAAAATTATCCAAAGTTTAGTACTGTTGCGCTATATATATATGCCATGCATGCTGTCATATGTAATAAAATATTTTGAAATTCTCAGTACAAAACTTTAGATAATTTTTAAAATACTCAACCGATATACTTCATTCGAACATTTTTAAAGTCCTGGTTGTATAACGATACAGATTACATAAAGTATGTAAACATTTGAGCAAGTTTTTCTATCTTAACACGAGACACATTATATATTTTTGAAATCCTTAGAAGATTTTCTTTCGAAAGATAAGTAAACAAAGTCTCTACAACAAAAATCGGATGAGCTTACATAAGATTCGTAATGTTGCTGTCATGTTGTAAACAATTAAATTTTAGTCAAGCGACTGCCAAATTGACTCGTAACTTCTAAATTTCTGATCGTATAAACTTGATTCAAACATTTTCCGATAGCTTATTTCTCGAGGATTAAAAATATGTAAAATTTACCTTGTCTTGGAGCAACAAGTATAGGAAATTTTGAAGAACAAATCAATTTCGCGCATTGAAATTAAGTGGTCTTAATTTATTCAGACCCCAAAATTTGGGGTGTAAAACAACAGTGATGCCAGCGCCTTCTCAGCACGAAGTCAGCACAAAGGCCCTGGGGAAGAGGTTGTGCAAAGACTTCAACAAGCTAAAATATTTTAAAAAGAACCAGGGGGTGTGAAAGTTGTAGCGGGCTCAAAATTGAGCCTGGTCAATGGTAATTACCATGAGCCGGAGGAACCATATGGCGTCATTCTGGCGTCAGCAAAGGCCGAAATCCGCCATGTTTTTGGCGACACTTTTTCATGCCGAGCAGGTCCTCCAGTAATATAGTATAGCTCAGTGCATACGAACTACGAACGAAGTTCGAAAATTTCCCGCCATTTTCATTGTTGTTGTTTTGAAATAATACAAATGGTCTTTGGTTCGTATATAAAACGAAATTAACGTTGGAAATAAAACGAAAACATTTAAAAAGACATCTTGAGATAATTCTAGAGTTTAATGTTTGCACTAGAATTTTAAAAAATATCGCTTCTATACTGGTCTTTCGCGCGCTTATTTACATGTCGTCTTTGCGTGTAGTTTTGTCACTTTGAATAAGTCCATATTATTAACAGAACATTAATTAAATGTTCTATATATATACGGTATATATATATATATATATATATATATATATATATATATATATATATATATATATATATATATATATATATATATATATATATATATATATATATATATATATATATATATATATATATATATATATATATATATATATATATATATATATAGCCGGTCTAGTTCAGATATGGCGTCGTGTATAGTTTCGGGGTGAGGTATTAATTGAGACGAAAGTCATGTTCCTCATCCCAGTCACGTACGTTTTCTTGTAACATGTTAATAGGTTATGCATATCAGTGTCAGTGTACACATTTGTGACGAATATAACAATAATAATATAGTTACTCTTCCTTCGTCGGTGGTTCTTGCGGTAGCAATTCTTCTAATTGCAAATTGTAACCAAAGCAGGTAAGCCGCAAACCTTATCATTCTGGTAGTAGGATAAAGGCGGTTTTCCACTAGGCGAAATTTTTCGACGGAATCGAAATTTAGATCCGTCACTCAGATGGAACTAAACAGAAATCTTTTGAATTTGAACAATAGAAATTTCGGTTCAATCGAAAAATTTCGCTTAGTGGAAAACCGCGTTTAGGCCTGTTTTATACGTCGAATTTCGGTCGCGTCGAATGCAATTCAAACAATAGATAATGAAGCTTAATGAGGTTTATAATCTCATTCTCTATTGTCTTAATTGCATTCGATGCGACCGAAATTCGACGTAAGTAGGTAACAAAGGCATGCCGCCAATAACATCACCGGAAATACTTGCATAAATTATGAAGTATGCACGTTCAACTATTCCCGCGTAAATTATAAAGTATGAACGTTCAGCTATTCCCGCGTAAATTATAAAGTACGAACGTCCAACTGTATGTATGAGTGAGCAAGACCGTCAAGAAGAATCTTTAGCCGCACAATATGTGTTGGATTTTGATACGTCTCTTTTAGAGCAAGGGAGACGTACAAGACATACAAAAATGGCTCTTTTAAGAGCCACCAAATATACTAAAAGAATTAAACGAAACACTCGATTTCACATTTCATATATTAATAGTATGCATCGATCAAGTTTGGCTAAGAGTCAATACCCCTAAAATGTGGACAAATCAAACGTGTTTAGTGTACACTTTTCTGAAAATCAATACTCCTCACTCGATGAACAGTTTTCCAGACCAAGAGCAGTTTTCACTGTAGGGGATTTGCTGGTCACAACTTCAGTTTTAACAGTCCATGAAATAGCCCAAACATTTATAATAATAGTAATAAGTGAAAAAAGGACAGACACGAACGTTATATCGATAGAGTAAACTTTTGTTGTTTAACACCTTCGTTCACCATACTTACCCGTTTGGATGGTGAGGTGTTAGCCCGGGTGACAGAGGGGTGGCCTGGAACGACTACTGGTACTACTGTTACTTGGACTCGGGTATAGATCCATGCCAGTGGTATCTTGAGCAGACCACCCCCGCAGGGCTAACACCTTCACACCAATTAACAATTGGTGGAAATATAAAAGAACAGGAGAGAAAAAAAATGTTTGTTCCTAATACGTTTACTACGCTTCCAACGCACAATGATTACTAATACCACCAATG